TAGGCATGCGGTGATACAGACATACAGTACAACCACCAACATATGATGACATAGGCATGCGGTGATACAGACATACAGTACAACCACCAACATATGATGACATAGGCATGCGGTGATACAGACATACAGTACAACCACCAACATATCATGACATAGGCATGCGGTGATACAGACATACAGTACAACCACCAACATATGATGACATAGGCCTGCGGTGATACAGACATACAGTACAACCACCAACATATGATGACATAGGCCTGCGGTGATACAGACATACAGTACAACCACCAACATATGATGACATAGGCATGCGGTGATACAGACATACAGTACAACCACCAACATATGATGACATAGGCATGCGGTGATACAGACATACAGTACAACCACCAACATATGATGACATAGGCATGCGGTGATACAGACATACAGTACAACCACCAACATATGATGACATAGGCATGCGGCGATACAGACATACAGTACAACCACCAACATATGATGACATAGGCATGCGGTGATACAGACATACAGTACAACCACCAACATATCATGACATAGGCATGCGGTGATACAGACATACAGTACAACCACCAACATATGATGACATAGGCATGCGGTGATAAAGACATACAGTACAACCACCAACATATGATTACATACGCATGCGGTGATAAAGACATACAGTACAACCACCAACATATGATTACATACGCATGCGGTGATACAGATAAACAGTACAACCACCAACATATGATTACATACGCATGCGGTGATAAAGACATACAGTACAATCATTAACATATGATTACATACGCATGCGGTGATAAAGACATACAGTACAACCACCAACATATGATTACATACGCATGCGGTGATACAGATAAACAGTACAACCACCAACATATGATTACATACGCATGCGGTGATAAAGACATACAGTACAACCACCAACATATGATTACATACGCATGCGGTGATAAAGACATACAGTACAACCACCAACATATGATTACATACGCATGCGGTGATACAGATAAACAGTACAACCACCAACATATGATTACATACGCATGTGGTAATACATACAGTACCACTACCAATATATGTTAAAATAGACATGCGGTGATACATACAGTACCACTATCAACATAAAATAACATAGGCATGCGGTGATACAGACATACAGTACCATATACATGCACTGACATAGACATGCACTGACATAGACATGCACTGACATAGACTTGCACTGACATAGACATGCACTGACAGAGACATGCACTGACATAGACATGCAATGGTATAAAAAATACACTCCCATTGAAATACATGAAACAAACAAAGATTTGATACAGACTTGCAGAACGGTAGAAATTGTTTTTATAAATTCTTCCATCTTTCGAGGATAAATGATTTGTAACAGCTTGCTGTCAGTGTAAACAGCTTGCTGTCAGTGTAAACAGCTTGCTGTCAGTGTAAACAGCTTGCTGTCAGTGTAAACAAACTGTCCGATGGAAGAAGGACTCTCCTGGAAGGGGCTGCTCAACATGTCTACAAGGTGGCTCGTCAGTTCACGTCAGTGAGTCAGTTCACGTCAGTGAGTCAGTTCACGTCAGTGAGTCAGTTCACACTGATGAATTTATTCCGGGCGAGACATAGCTTCTATGAGCATATCTGTAGAGTTGAGAGTTTTGAACTAAAACGAATATATTTCATCCTTTCTCAATGACGCGTGCTTCGATAGAGTAGCGACTATATCACGACAACCCGAAGATCATGCTTTTGGATCTTTCATTGAAACAAATTCATGTCATTAATCTGGACTATCAAATAGACCCAGCGTGAAATGCATACTAGACAGTGTCCCAGAAAGTAAAAGCAAACTGGCATTTTTGTGATCACCTCAGTCCTTAAGAGCCGAATCAGGTATTACAGTCATCAGTTTAGAGTTGTACGCCCAATACGGCAAAAGCGCCATTAACTTGACAGACTCGTCCTTGAAAACACCCTTCCTCAGATTGTTTCGGTGTCTTGTCTTCCCTGTCCCACATTTATTATATTAACACCTCGAACGACAAAACTACCCATTTCTCTCAGATTGTTTAGGTGTCTTGTCTTCCCTGCACAACAAATATTGTATTGTTATTACCTTGAACGACAGTAACACACATTTCTTTCAGATTGGTTCGGTGTCTTGTCTTCCCTGTCCAACATATATTATATTATTGTCACCTTGGATGACAATAACAACCCTTTCTCTCAATTGGTTCGTTGTCTTCACTTCCCTGTCCAATACAAATTGTATTGTTAACACATTGGGTGACAATAATAGGTTGATATCCTGCTGTTCTATGACTTCTGTTCTCCTCGTTATTTGCCAAGTATCATCGATCAACATGATTGTCTGCCCTCCCAGGACTGGACTCTGCAGGGAAGACGTCCATCTTGTACAGACTGAAGCTTGATGACCTCGTCACCACGGTACCAACTATCGGTGAGTATTGGTACATTTCTGCAGCTGGATATCATTTGTCTTCCTCATGTGCTGATGATATAACCTAACTTGCCAAAGATACATCCTACCATACCAAGGATACATCCTAACTTGCCAAGGATATATCATAACTTGCTAAGGATATATCATAACTTGCCAAAGATACATCCTACCATACCAAGGATACATCCTAACTTGCCAAGGATATATCATAACTAGCTAAGGATATATCATAACTTGCCAAGGATGTGTCCTAACTTGCCAAGGATATATCATTACTAGCTAAGGATATATCATAACTTGCCAAGGATATGTCCTAACTTGCCAAGGGTATATCCTAACTTGCCAAGGATACATCCTAACTTGCCAATGATATATCCTAACTTGTCAAGGATACATTCTAACTTGCCACGGATGTATCCTAACTTGTCAAGGATACATCCTAACTTGCCAAGGATATATCCTAACTTGTCAAGGGTATATCCTAATATGCCAAGGATATATCATAACTTGCCAAGGATATATCATAATTTGCCAAGGATGCATACTAACTTGTCAAGGAAACATCCTAACTTGCCAAGGATATATAATAACTTCCAAAGATACATTCTTACTTGCCAAGGAAATATCCTAACACCAAGGATATATCATAACTTGCCAAGGATACATTCTAAATTGCCAAGGATATATACTAACTTGCCAAGGATACATACTAACTTGCCAAAGATATCTCCTATCACCAAGGATTTATCATAACATGCCGAGGATATATCCTAACATCAAGGAGATATCCTTACTTGCCACGTTTATATCCTAACTAACCAATGAGATATCCTAACTAACCAAGGAGATATCCTAACTAACCAAGGAGACATCCTAACTAACCAAGGAGATATCCTAACTAACCAAGGAGATATCCTTACTAACCAAGGAGATATCCTAACTAAGCAAGGATATATCCTAACTAACCAAGGAGATATCACAACACCAAGGAGATATCCTAACTAACCAAGGAGATATCCTAACTAACCAAGGGGATATCATAACTAACCAAGGAGATATCCTAACTAACCAAGGAGATATCGTAACTAACCAAAGAGATATCCTAACTAACCAAGGAGATATCCTAACTAGCCAAGGAGATATCCTAACTAACCAAGGAGATATCCTAACTAACCAAGGAGATATCCTAACTAACCAAGGAGATATCCTAACTAACCAAGGAGACATCCTAACTAACCAAGGAGATATCATAACTAACCAAGGAGATATCCTAACTAACCAAGGAGATATCCTAACTAACCAAGGAGATATCCTGACTAACCAAGGAAATATCCTGACTAACCAAGGAGATATCCTAACTAACCAAGGAGATATCCTAACTAACCAAGGAAATATCCTGACTAACCAATGAGATATCCTGACTAACCAAGGAGATATCCTAACTAACCAAGGAGATATCCTAACTAACCAATGAGATTTCCTAACTAACCAATGAGGTATCCTCACTAACCAAGGAGATATCCTAACTAACCAAGGAGATATCCTAATTAACCAAGGAGATATCATAACTAACCAAGGAAATATCCTGACTAACCAAGGAGATATCCTAACTAACCAAGGAAATATCCTGACTAACCAAGGAGATATCCTGACTAACCAAGGAGATATCCTAACTAACCAAGGAGATATCCTAACTAACCAATGAGATATCCTCACTAACTAAGGAGATATCCTAACTAACCAAGGAGATATCCTAACTAACCAATGAGATATCCTCACTAACTAAGGAGATATCCTAACACCAAGGCGACATCCTAACACCAAGGAGATATATTCCAACTAACCAATGAGTTATTCTAACTAACCAATGAGATATCCTAACTAACCAAGGAGATATCCTAACTAACCAAGGAGATATTTTAACTAACCAATGAGATATCCTCACTAACCAAGGAGATATCCTAACACCAAGGAGATATCCTAACACCAAGGAGATATCCTCACTAACCAAGGAGATATCCTAACACCAAGGAGATATCCTAACACCAAGGATATATCCTAACACCAAGGAGATATCCTAACACCAAGGAGATATCCTAACACCAAGGAGATATCCTAACACCAATGAGATATCCTAACACCGAGGAGATATCCTAACTAACCAAGGAGATATCCTAACACCAAGGAGATATCCTCACTAACCAATGAGATATCCTAACACCAAGCAGATATCCTAACACAAAGGAGATATCCTAATCTGCACTAGGTAAGGTGTACTCTAGGACAGCGATTCTCTTATCCCTTGTCATGCTACATACAAAAATGTAGTGGCCCACCTATCTTAGCGTGGTTTAATACTCAGGAAAATAAGAAAGAAAAAAAAAAGAGTGCGATTTAAATTTTCGTTTGATTTTAATGCGATTTAATGAAACTGTTTGGATGAATTTTGCATTATATTCTTTTCATTTAGCTAGTGTGATGTAATGTAGCTAGTGTGGTGTGATGTAGCTGGTGTGATGTATCTTGTGTGACGTGATGTAGCTAGTGTTGTTTGATGTAGCTAGTGTGGTGTGATGTAGCTAGTGTGGTGTGATGTAGCTGGTGCGACGTGATGTAGCTGGTGTGACGTGATATAGCTGGTGTGATGTGATGTAGCTAGTGTGACGTGATGTAGCTAGTGTGACGTGATGTAGCTAGTGTGACGTGATGTAGCTAGTGTGACGTGATATAGCTGGTGTGATGTGATGTAGCTAGTGTGACGTGATGTAGCTAGTATGACGTGATGTAGCTAGTGTGACGTGATGTAGCTAGTGTGACGTGATATAGCTGGTGTGATGTGATGTAGCTAGTGTGGTGTGATGTAGCTGGTGTGATGTAGCTGATATGATGTAATATAGCTGGTGTAAGGTAGCTGGTGTGATGTGAAGTAGCTGGTGTGATGTGATGTAGCTGGTGTGATGTAGCTGGTGTGGTGTGATGTAGCTGGTGTGGTGTGATGTAGCTGGTGTGATGTAGCTGATATGATGTAATATAGCTGGTGTAAGGTAGCTGGTGTGATGTGAAGTAGCTGGTGTGATGTGATGTAGCTGGTGTGGTGTGATGTAGCTGGTGTGATGTGATGTAGCTGGTGTGGTGTGATGTAGCTGGTGTGATGTGATATAGCTGGTGTGATGTGATGTAGCTGGTGTGATGTGATGTAGCTGGCGTGATGTGATGTAGCTGGTGTGATGTGATTTAGCTGGTGTGATGTGATGTAGCTGGTGTGATGTGATGTAGCTGGTGTGATGTAGCTGGTGTGATGTGATGTAGCTGGTGTGGTGTGATGTAGCTGGTGTGATGTAGCTGGTGTGATGTGATGTAGCTGGTGTGATGTGATGTAGCTGGTGTGATGTGATGTAGCTGGCGTGGTGTGATGTAGCTGGTGTGATGTGATGTAGCTGGTGTGGTGTGATGTAGCTGGTGTGATGTGATATAGCTGGTGTGATGTGATGTAGCTGGTGTGATGTGATGTAGCTGGTGTGATGTGATGTAGCTGGTGTGATGTGATGTAGCTGGTGTGATGTGATGTAGCTGGTGTGATGTAGCTGGTGTGATGTAGCTGGTGTGATGTGATGTAGCTAATGTGATGTAGCTGGTGTGGTGTGATATAGCTGGTGTGATGTGATGTAGCTGGTGTGATGTGATGTAGCTAATGTGATGTGATATAGCTGGTGTGAGGTGATGTAGCTGGTGTAATGTGATATAGCTGGTGTGATGTGATGTAGCTGGTGTGGTGTTATATAGCTGGTGTGATGTGATGTAGCTGGTGTGATGTGATGTAGCTAATGTGATGTAGCTGGTGTGATGTGATGTAGCTGGTGTGATGTAGCTGGTGTGATGTGATGTAGCTGGTGTGATGTGATGTAGCTGGTGTGATGTAGCTGGTGTGATGTAGCTGGTGTGATGTAGCTGGTGTGATGTAGCTGGTGTGATGTAGCTGGTGTGATGTAGCTGGTGTGATGTAGCTGGCGTGATGTGATGTAGCTGGTGTGATGTAGCTGGTGTGGTGTGATGTAGCTGGTGTGATGTGATGTAGCTGGTGTGATGTGAGGTAGCTGGTGAGGTGTGATGTAGCTGGTGTGATGTGAAGTAGCTGGTGTGATGTGATGTAGCTGATGTGATGTGAAGTAGCTGGTGTGATGTGATGTAGCTGGTGTGATGTGATGTAGCTGGTGTGATGTGATGTAGCTGGTGTGGTGTGATGTAGCTGGTGTGATGTGATGTAGCTGGTGTGATGTGATATAGCTGGTGTGGTGTGATGTAGCTGGTGTGATGTGAAGTAGCTGGTGTGATGTGATGTAGCTGATGTGGTGTGGTGTGATGTAGCTGGTGTGATGTATCTTGTGTGATGTGATGTAGCTAGTGTGATGTGATGTAGCTAGTGTGACGTGATGTAGCTGGTGTGATGTATCTTGTGTGACGTGATGTAGCTAGTGTGACGTGATATAGCTGGTGTGGTGTGATGTAGCTAGTGTGACGTGATGTAGCTGGTGTGATGTATCTTGTGTGACGTGATGTAGCTAGTGTGACATGATATAGCTGGTGTGGTGTGATGTAGCTGGTGTAATGTAGCTGATGCGATGTAGCTGGTGTGATGTAGTGTAGCTTGTGTGTTTGCGATGTAGCTGGTGTGATGTAGCTGGTTGATGTATCTGGTGTGATGTAGCTGGTGTAATGTGAAGTAGCTGGTGTGATGTTATGTAGCTGGTGTAATGTGAAGTAGCTGGTGTGATGTTACGTAGCTGGTGTAATGTGATTTAGCTGGTGTGATCTCTATTGTTGGATATATGATGTTGATATTGCCCAGATTGTTGTGCTCCATATATTAAAGTCATCAACAGGTTTCAATGTGGAGAACATCCGGTACAAAGATCTTCATCTGACGGCCTGGGACATTGGGAGTCGTGACAAGCTGGTGAGTGTGAGTGTGTGTGTGATGTGTGTGTGTGTGTGTGTGAATGTGTGTATGTGAGTGTTTGTGTGTGTGTGTGTGACTGTGTTCGAGCGCGTGTGAGTGTGTTTGAATGTGTGTATGTGAGTGTTTGTGTGTGTGTGACTGTGTTCGAGCGCGTGTGAGTGTGTGTGTGTGTGAGTGTTTGTGTGTGTGCCCCCCTCCCCTCGATCATCATGGGTGTTGTGTTGATGATACACATCATTATATTGATTAATAATCAGTGCAACTTTGAGAAGACCACGAGAAAGGGTAAGATGAGGAGGAGCAAAAATAGAACATCAGCAGCAGTCATAACAGTGTCATCAGCTGGGGGGAAGATGTGGCTGAAGAGGAACAGAAGGAATAGGGAAATTAAACTTTGAAAACAAGTATAAATAATGGTCTTACGACACTTCGGTTAGGGTAAAAAAAATGGCTACACTTCGGTTCAGGTAAGTAATGGCTTCACGGCACATCGGTGAGGGTAAATAATGGCTGTACGGCACGTCAGTTCAGGTAAATTATGGCCTTACGGCACTTCGGTTAGGGTAAAAAATGGCTTTACTGCACTTCGGTTAGGGTAGATAATGGCTTTGCGGCACTACAGTTAGGGTAAATAATGGTCTTACGGCACTTCAGTTCAAGTAAATAATGGCTTTACGGCACTTCGGTTAGGGTAGATAATGGCTTTACGGCACTACAGTTTGGGTAAATAATGGTCTTATGGCACTTCAGTTCGGGTAAATAATGGCTCTACGGCACTTCAGTGCGGGTAGATAATGGCTTCAAAAAAGGTCAAAATGTAAAAAAAAAAAGTGTATATAATGGTTTTACAAAAGTGTTATAATAAAATACTGAAAGTAATGCTTTACAAAAGTTTTTAAAAAAAAATGGTAACTAATGCTTTACAAACGTTCAAAACAAAAGAGTGTAACTAACGGCTTTATGACAGTAGCACTCCACAGTCCGCTGTTTACCGCCGTTTCTATTTGTGTTAGCTCATGTGTTTTTTATGTCTTGTTAGCTAGCACATGTGTTTTTTGTGTCTTGTCCTGTCAGCGTATGTGTTCTTTGTGCCTTGCAGCGGCGCTTTTTACAACATAGTAAACAGACATTCCTAGTTTGAAATGTGCAACATGATATGCTACCATTACTATTGTTCAGTGAGAGAGAAAATGTGCGGCATTAGTGTCTCAATGTTTGGTCTTTGAACAGCGCCCTCTGTTCCGCCATTACTACAAGGGAGCAGACGCCGTGGTCTTCGTTATAGACAGCCATGACCCCGAGCGCTTGGACGAGCTCAACTATGACGTCATCAAGCCAGCGGTCAGCGCTGAGGAGCTGACCAACGCCGTCTTTCTGTTTCTGGCCAACAAGACTGACCTTCCGGAGACGATGACAACAGAGGAGATCGCTGAGAAGTTAGGTCTGAGGTACCTAAAGCATCCGTGGGGTATGTATTGTCTGTGTATATATGGTACCTTAGACGTACTGGAGTATGTGTCGTATGTTTGTGTATGTGGTACCTTAGACAGACATGGGGTATGTGTCGTATGTTGGTGTGTATGTGGTACCTTAGACAGACATGGGGTATGTGTCGTATGTCTGTGTATGTTGTACCTTAGACAGACATAGGGTATGTGTCGTATGTTGGTGTGTATGTGGTACCTTAGACAGACATAGGGTATGTGTCGTATGTCTGTGTATGTGGTACCTTAGACAGACATGGGGTATGTGTCGTATGTTTGTGTATGTGGTACCTTAGACAGACATAGGGTATGTGTCGTATGTCTGTGTATGTGGTACCTTAGACAGACATGGGGTATGTGTCGTATGTCTGTGTGTATGTGGTATCTTAGACAGACATAGAGTATGTGTCGTATGTCTGTGTATGTGGTACCTTAGACAGACATGGGGTATGTGTCGTATGTTGGTATGTATGTGGTACATTAGTGAACAATACGGTGAACAGCCCCTCCCCCCCCCCCCAAAAAAAAAAAAAAGCGACCAAGAGGTTTCGAAAGAGGCGGGAGCCCGAAGAAAAGTTATCACAGACATCAGAAAGAGACAATCATATTTTTCGGCCATGTTATGAGTAGAGGGAAAATGAAACATGTGGTGACCACTAGAAAGATCAGTGGAAGGAGGGTTAGAGGAAGACAATGAGAGAAGATTCTTGACAGTCTTGTTGCATGGCATGGAGGTGTGTCGGCACACGAACTAATACATGCAGCATGAGATCACAGATTATGGCGAGGAATAATCGCCCACGTCAGTCGGCAAGACACCTGATGATGATGATACACTATTCGTATTCGTATTCGGCCGAAAAGTTGGTCCCACGATCCGTATTCGGCCGAATAGTGAAAATCACTATTCGGTACAGCCCTAGTTAGCATCTCAGTAGTAACTCTTTGAGTCTTTTTGTACTTTTTGGGATTGCAATACAAAAGGTTGAAATTTAAAAAAAAAGAAGTTTATTTTTATTAGTGAAAAACACACACAACTATAACAGTAATAACAACAACAACAATAGCATCAGCAACAATAACAAGAATACCAACAACAGCAGCAATAATAACAACAGCAACAGCAACAATGCAGTTTACACTGGTGATCACAGTCTGAGAATCCCTGGTGTATTCATCAATATCGTCATGTGCCGCGGTGATGTATGTAGACTTTAGCTATCTCAAAAGATCAGTAGAGTCTAGGGTCAGATCTGTGTTCTTGTACAGATCTCACCGTGTGTCAGAACTAATTTTGTATGGAGTGGCGTGTGTGAGAAGTGGTGTGTATGTGTGGAGCGGTGTGTGTGAGGAGTGGTGTGTGTGAGGAGTGGTGTGTGTGAGGAGTGGGGTGTGTGTGGGGAGTGCTGTGTGTGAGGAGTGGTGTGTGTGGGGAGTGGCGTGTGTGTGTGGAGTGGCGTGTGTGTGGGGATTGGTGTGTGTGGGGAGTGGCGTGTGTGGGGAGTGGTGTGAGTGAGGAGTGGTGTGTGTGGAGTGGCGTGTGTGAGAAGTGGTGTGTGTGTGTGGAGTGGCGTGTGTGTGTGGAGTGGCGTGTGTATGGGGAGTGGCGTGTGTGTGGGGAGTGGCGTGTGTGTGGGGAGTGGCGTGTGTCAGAAGTGGTGTGTGTGTGGAGTGGCGTGTGTGTGTGGAGTGGCGTGTGTGAGAAGTGGTGTGTGTGTGGAGTGGCGTGTGTGTGGGGAGTGTTGTGTGTTTTGGGTAGAGTGTATGTTAAGTTGCTTGTGTGTTGAGTGGCTTGGGTGTTGAGTAGAGTGGCTTGCACCCGTTCATTGGACTCTATGTTGAAAGCATTTAGAGATGAGGATCTGAATGCAGCAGAACTGAAGAGACCGATTCAGCTGGCAGTTGGCAGGAGGTCTGGACCCTCGACACCAGGGAAAACATGCAGAGGGGGGGGGGGGTGGCGCGGGAGGCAGAGGCCACCAAAACAGTGTGATGAACAGTTTCTATTTACGTGCGGTCACAGAAGTAGAGTCGACAATCGGGAAAGGAGAATGACATTGGTAGACTAACTGACTGACCTTTTACCCCATTAGGACATCACACATGCGATAAACACCTAGTGACAACAAATGCCACCATGCGGATGAAGATCACCCGTAGAGAGGTCACGGAAACCCCTTTTAGCAGTTAAGTCATATCTATGTCCTGGCTATATTCATGGTCCCCGGCATTAGCCAGGATTGGACTTCAAAAAACAAAAAAATTGTATCCCACATGGGTATCAGTGATAAATATTAGTAGAGTAGAAGTAGTAGTAGTACATTTTACCACTAGGATATCATACAAGCGATAAACACTCGATGACACAAAGTGCTACCATGTGGATAAGGATCACCGTGGAGAGGTCCAGGAAACCGCGTTTAGCCATTAGGCCGTATTTATGGCCGGGCTATATTGCGGTCCCTGGCTAAAGCCAGGGTGGGGCTTCAAAATAACCAAAACATAGCATCCCACATGGGGACGGCTGTCGTGATGATTAAGTATTAGTAGAGACAAAAGCGTCGAGTGAAAGTAGATCAGGTTAAACCACGTTTCCATTAGCAAAATCTTCATGTGAAAACACTTAGTTGACCATTGATTAATGAGGGCAAAGCAAACATGGGATTGTCCCGAAAACACTGTTTTCGCCTCTTTACTTATTCAGTCATTCACTCACTTCATTCATTCATTCATTCATTCATTCATTCATTCATTCATTCATTCATTCATTCATTCATTCATTCATTCATTCATTCATTCATTCATTCATTTAGTATTATTTTTTAAAACTAAACATCGAAAGTCGTTTCCCCTTTTCTACCCAGGAATCCTGCCTGTGAGTGCTGCCAATGGAGAAGGTCTGCAGGCAGCGCTAGAATGGCTAGCCGTCAGGCTGGGGTCTGCCCAGGTAAAACCAAGGAACTTCACAGCTGTTCAACCCAAGCCCAAGCTGCTGGACCAGTGCCGTACCGGTTCATCTGTGTCCTCGTCCTCATCCACGGCAACATCGAAGACAGACAACTGCAAAGCCCAATCTAAAGTCACCCTCCCGCAGAAACCGGTCATCCTGGTCAACTCTAAGCTCTACACTGATATCATGACCACTCCAACCATGTCTTCGGGCTCTGTGGACAATGCCTCAGTCATCTCCGTCTCTACCCCGGGAAGCTGTTACAGCTCATATGTCCCCAAAAGAAACCCGGGCAGTGTTATGAACACCTTCTCCTCCTACTCGATAACCCAGTCTATGAGAGATGATTTGAGCAGAAGACAGTTCAGTACCATCTCCAGAAGCGATATCCGTAAAATGAGCTGTGCCTCACTGTCGGAAAGTACTGGCAATCGCAAGCAGAGTATTTGTTCTTTGTTAGATAGTCCCAGTCAACGGAAAATGAGTACCGTGTCGCTCGTGGATTCACCCTACCGACGCAAGATGAGTTCATCGTTTGTTATTGATGCTCCGCCCTACAGGAAGTTTAGTTCTGCTTCGCTGATAGACGCTGCTTACGCGAGAAAAATGAGCGCCAGTTCCCTAGGCGATAGAAGATCCTCCGACGCACAATATGGCAGAAAGCTCAGTGCCACATCTTTAGGAGAAGCCCAGATATTGCCAGCCGTGAGTGCACGGAAGCTAAGTGCAGTCTCGCTGGCGGATTCCCCAGAGGAACCTGAAAAGCTAAAGATGTCTTATCTGACCACCTTACCGGTTGACGTAGCGACACCTCCGACAACCAAAAGGAAATCTGTGGACCTGTCACTGGCCGGCTTTGGCAAATTCACTCCCATCATGGCCGACTATGTTCGCAAAGATAGGAAGGATAGCGACACGTCTTGTGATTCGCTCAACCTGGTGTCTCCTTCAGATCACGCTCAGAATCATGTGGCGGCCATCAAGTCTCCGCTGTCGGTTGAATCCAGCAGAAACGCTTCCAGAACCATCGAAGATATGAAGGAGGAACATTACAATGAGATCCTTAGTCTACTCCCGGACAGTTACACTAACATGCACTTCCGGGACTTTTTCTCTCAACCAATGGACACTCCTGTTTCTGAGGAAGAAAGGAGGGCTTCAATAAGAGCTCTTGACGATACAAACGAGAACATTTCATCTGTTGTCTCCTCGCAAAAATCAAACAATGAAGTCAAAAAAAGTCCCAGAAAGAAAAACTTTCTGAAATCAATTAAACAATTAAGTAATGAGTCCAATAGTTCTCTTTCCCCGAGAAAAAGAAAAGGAATGATTTCACAATTCTATTTACTGTGTACACCAACCAGGAGATCCCATGGCCACCATCGCAGCAGATGTCGTTCTAAAGAAGAGGGCACAATCGTTGGGGCCTCAGCACCAAGGAGGGCGTATTGTGCTCGGGCCTATACTGCCCTGAGATGTTTGTTTGTGAAAGACAGCAAAACTGTGGCCCACACAGATGCTAAGAGTCTAAGCAGTGAAGATGATACAATGAAAAAAGACAAACGGGAAACGATAGTTAGCTTTGATTTGGAAAACCAAAACATCAAAGTAGAAATTATCGATGTAGATGAACAACAGGTAGATGCCACACAGATGGCTCACTCCAAATAACGATGCTTCACGATTCTAAAGAATTCATTGGTGGCTTGTTCTGTCATTCGAACAGCCTCAAAGCAAATATATCTCGGGCCGAGACTTCTACAAGGGCAATAGGTTCGTTTGCTTTTGAAGAAACAAGTTATTGTTCTAAACCGGTAGCGTCAACTTTGCAGAATATCATGAGACAATGTGTGCATGAAGTAGAAGACTTGAGAAGAATTGTCTTACACAACAGAGGTGGATCAACAAGTGAAAGATTGTCTCACACAACAGAGCTGAGTCAACAAGTGAAAGATTGTCTTATACAACAGAGCTCGATCAACAAGTTAAAGATTATCTCACACAACAGAGCTGAGTCAACAAGTGAAAGATTGTCTCACACAACAGAGCTGAGTCAACAAGTGAAAGATTGTCTCACACAACAGAGCTGAATCAACAAGTGAAAGATTGTCTCACACAACAGAGCTGAGTCAACAAGTGAAAGATTGTCTCACACAATAGAGCTGAGTCAACAAGTGAAAGATTGTCTCACACAACAGAGCTGGATCAACAAGTGAAAGATTGTCTCACACAACAGAGCTGGATCAACAAGTGAAAGATTGTCTCACACAATAGAGCTGAGTCAACAAGTTAAAGATTGTCTCACACAACAGAGCTGGATCAACAAGTGAAAGATTGTCTCACACAATAGAGCTGAGTCAACAAGTGAAAGATTGTCTCACACAACAGAGCTGGATCAACAAGTGAAAGATTGTCTCACACAACAGAGCTGAGTCAACAAGTGAAAGATTGTCTTATACAACAGAGCTGGATCAACAAGTTAAAGATTATCTCACACAACAGAGCTGAGTCAACAAGTGAAAGATTGTCTTACACAACAGAGCTGGATCAACAAGTTAAGGATTGTCTCACACAACAAAGCTGGGTCAACAAGTTAAAGATTGTCTCACATAACACAGCTATGTCAACAAGTTAAAGATTGTCTCACACAACAGAGCTGGGTCAGCAAGTGAAAGATTGTCTCACACAACATAGCTGGGTCAACAAGTGAAAGATTGTCTCACATAACAGAGCTGGATCAACAAGTGAAAGATTGTCTCACACAACAGAGCTCGATCAGCAACTGAATTATTGTCTCACACAGCACAGCTAGATCAGCAACTGAATGATTGTCTCACACAACACAGCTCGATCAGCAACTGAATGATTGTCTCACACAACACAGCTCGATCAGCAACTCTATCTAGTTCACCCCTGGTCTTTCTGACATCTTCTCCGTTTTTCTTCAGTTCACCCCTGGTCTTTCTGGCATCTTCTCCGTTTTTCTTCAGTTCACCCCTTGTCTTTCTGACATCTTCTCCGTTTTTCTTCAGTTCACCCCTGGTCTTTCTGACATCTTCTCCGTTTTTCTTCAGTTCACTCCTGGTCTTTCTGACACCTTCTTTAACTCTTTCTAGTTCACCTGTCAACTTTCTGACGTCTGCTTCAGTTCACCAGTGATTTTCCCCACATTTTCACCTTTTGCGATCTCTTGACTTGTTGATCAAATCACCCACCGCTGCTGATTGTTGTATACATTTGTAAATCTAGCACCATAGCTTTTAATTGTCACTGTATCACACAGCTGGTATAACTCACAGTTCCAGAAACCAGTACACGATGACGGCACGGCTCCCTTTACTAGCAACTATATCACACAGCTGGGATAATGTCAGTTCCATAAAACAATACACGATGACGGCACGGCTCCCTGTACTAGCAACTATATCAGACAGCTGGTATAACTCACAGTTCCAGAAACCAGTACACGATGACGGCACGGCTCCCTGTACTAGCAACTATATCACACAGCTGGTATAACGTCAGTTCCATAAAACAATACACGATGACGGCACGGCTCCCTGTACTAGCAACTATATCACACAGCTGGGATAACGTCAGTTCCATAAAACAATACACGATGACGGCACGGCTCCCTTTACTAGCAACTATATCACACAGCTGGTATAACGTCAGTTCCATAAAACAATACACGATGACGGCACGGCTCCCTGTACTAGCAACTATATCACACAGCTGGTATAACGTCAGTTCCATAAAACAATACACGATGACGGCACGGCTCCCTGTACTAGCAACTATATCATACAGCTGGGATAACGTCAGTTCCATAAAACAATACACGATGACGGCACGGCTCCCTTTACTAGCAACTATATCACACAGCTGGTATAACGTCAGTTCCATAAAACAATACACGATGACGGCACGGCTCCCTTTACTAGCAACTATATCACACAGCTGGTATAACGTCAGTTCCATAAAACAATACACGATGACGGCACGGCTCCCTGTACTAGCAACTATATCACACAGCTGGTATAACGTCAGTTCCATAAAACAATACACGATGACGGCACGGCTCCCTGTACTAGCAACTATATCACACAGCTGGGATAACGTCAGTTCCATAAAACAATACACGATGACGGCACGGCTCCCTTTACTAGCAACTATATCACACAGCTGGTATAACGTCAGTTCCAGGAAACAGTTTATGATGACGGCACGGCTCCCTTTACTTGTCACGGTATCACACAGCTGGTATAACGTCAGTTCCATAAAACAATACACGATGACGGCACGGCTCCCTTTACTTGTCACGGTATCACACAGCTGACAGATTTCCAGTTCCATAAAACAATACGTGCTGTAAATACAAAAAACAATACGGTCCTTCTCTGTGTGAATTGACGGTGAAAGTTCTTCTAACCCCTACAATTCAAATTGATTGTGAAAGCGCTCTAACAATGCTATGTGTCTTTGTTGTCAACTCTGTGTTACTCTTCTGTGTAAATTGTAAGGATACTGTAAACTGCTATGTAACTATGTAAATCAGTTGTAAGTATTCTGTAAATATACGGTGTAAATTGATAATGAGGATTCTGTAAATAATCTTTGTAAACTAACTGTGAAGATTATATGCTTCCAGTATGTAAGTTAACTGTAAAGACTATGCGCCTCCAGTATGTAAGTTGACTGAAAAGATTACGTGCCTCCAGTATGTAAGTTAACTGTGAAGATATGCGCCTCCAGTATGTAAGTTAACTGTGAAAATATGCGCCTCCAGTATGTAAGTTAACTGTGAAGATTATGTGCCTCTAGTATGTAAGTTAACTGTTAAGATTATGTACCTCCAGTATGTAAGTTAACTGTAAAGATTATGTGCCTCCAGTATGTAAGTTAACTGTTAATATTATATGCCCCCAGTTTGTAAGTTAACTGTGAAGATTATGTGCCTCTAGTTTGTAAGTTAACTGTGAAGATTATGTGTCTCCAGTTTGTAAGTTAACTGTGAAGATTATGTGCCTTCAGTATGTAAGTTAACTGTGAAAATTATGTGCCTCAGTATGTAAGTTAACTGTAAAGATTATGTGCCTGTAGTATGTCAGTTAACTGTGAAGATTATATGCCACCAGTATGTTAGTTAACTGTGAAGATTATGTGCCTCCAGTTTGTAAGTTAACTGTGAAGATTATGTGCCTCTAGTTTGTAAGTTATCTGTGAAGATTATGTAGCTCCAATATGTAAGTTAACTGTGAAGATATGCGCCTCCAGTATGTAAGTTAACTGTGAAGATTATGCGCCCCCAATATGTAAGTTAACTGTGAAGATTATGTGCCTCCAGTATGTAAGTTAACTGTGAGGATTATGTGCCTCCAATATGTAAGTTAACTGTGAAGATTATGTGCCTCCAGTATGTAAGTTAACTGTAAAGATTATGTGCCTCAAATATGTAAGTTAACTGTAAAGATTATGTGCCTCCAATATGTAATTTAACTGTAAAGATTATGTGCCTCCAGTATGTAAGTTAATTGTAAAGATTATGTGCCTCCAGTATGTAAGTTAATTGTGAAGATTATGTGCCTCCAGTTTGTAAGTTAACTGTGAAGATTATAACTGGAAGTAGTCTGTAAATCTGCTAACTGAAAGTGACAGACCTGTCAATCTGATGTGTAGATTGACCGTGACAGATCTGTAACTCTGATGTGTAGATTGACCGTGACAGATCTGTAACTCTGATGTGTACATTGACCGTGACAGATCTGTAACTCTGATGTGTAGATTGACCGTGACAGATTTGTAACTCTGGTGTGTAATTGACCGTGACAGATCTGTAACTCTGATGTGTGCATTGACCGTGACAGATCTGTAACTCTGGTGTCTATGATCACTATGAGAACTATGTAACTCCGCCATGTTGTGACCAAGAAAGGGGGAATAAAAAAGATTGTGACTATTGATAAGATTGTGGATAAATATTTCTCCGTCATATTTCAATGACCTTTATTTCATCGTCGTCGTAGAAGCTGGAGACCAAGAAGTGACAAGAGCAGAACCACCTGAAAGATGTCACATGTCGCTTTGGAACTTTGCTTCCGGCCCAAAGAACTGTTCTAGAAATAAGTGTACGGTTGTTGGAGAGGGGGAGAAAGAGAGAAGAGAGAGACGGAGCGAGAGAGCGCCATAATCTGCTTTATAACAGAACAAGAGCTCTCCGTCCGCCATGTGAAAAAGTGAGCCCTCTTCGGTGAATTGCTAAGAAAGGACTCAATGCTCTCAAGATTATGGCAGCAATGGACATGGAACAAAAAATGTTGTTCACATTGTTAAAACATGTGATCCTGTGATAGATTATGGATTTGGAATGCTCACCATATCAAAGAGTCAGATGGTGAAACTCGAAACATACATAGTGAAACCATGTGGGTAACTCTGGAATGTACCAGCGATACCCTGGTAGTATGTATGCTATGTACACTTGCATTGCTACTATTGCAGATAGGCTGAAAGTTCTGCAAGAAAAGTCATGTCTTAGAGTAGCTGCAGACAAGAAGCACCTCCTGCATGAAGCCTGGATAAAGCTAATGGTCACAGGCTGACCACAATGAAAGTCTTGGATGGCGCAAGCAGAAGACATAATTACATATATAAGCTTTATAAATTTTGGCGAGGATAGGACTGGATCAAAGTGCCCGAGCAAGAATCAGATTTGTGTAGAGTTCCAATCACTGTAGGTGGTGAGTGCAGAGACAGGCCAGCAGCTGCTGCAGAATCAGATTTGTGTAGGGTTCCAATCACTGTAGGTGGTGAGTGCAGAGACAGGCCAGCAGCTGCTGCAGAATCAGATTTGTGTAGGGTTCCAATCACTGTAGGTGGTGAGTGCAGAGACAGGCCAGCAGCTGCTGCAGAATCAGATTTGTGTAGGGTTCCAATCACTGTAGGTGGTGAGTGCAGAGACAGGCCAGCAGCTGCTGCAGAATCAGATTTGTGTAGGGTTCCAATCATTGTAGGTGGTGAGTGCAGAGACAGGCCAGCAGCTGCTGCAGAATCAGAGGTTCAGCCAATGATAGATGACAATTACCGCCCATGTGATGTGATTATCTGTAAAGATGGCTCTGTATTTAGGGGCAGACAAAAGCGAATGGACATCGATAAGTGCAGCAAAGCCTTACACAAAATATCACAACGTCTTGTTGAAGAATGGAGGTGAGGGCAGACACCTCGGCCTTCCGCTCGCTTCAGAATCAGCTGCAGAGACATTTTGAAATTGTAACTGTTTCACATAGTATGTTGAGAAAGTTGGAGACAGGCATACTTCGTGCAGAGTGGCAAGCATTGCTTCAGAGATACCTGGTACTTAGCGTCCTTTGGGTATTTTCTTCAGGTTATGCCGGTGTATTGGGAAACAAGAAGGCAGATAGACTGGCCGGTTCTGCATCACTTGGTGATAAATTGGTGTAGAACAAGCCAGTGATTAGTGCAGAGGCATACATTGATCATTGCGGTGTTAGGAGAATAGCGCTGCGAGGAGTTACCAGGGAATGTGGCCGACGCTCAACATTCAGGGGAAAGGCGAGACGGGTGTACAATCAGACAGTTACTGGAGCCTTTAGAATTGGAACTCTTCACTTGCTGCTGAAAATGCTGACGGAGCGCTGGTGATGTCGATTCCTTAATCAACATTCAGCTAATGCTGACGGAGCGCTTGTGATGTCGATTCCTTAATCAACATTCAGCTAACTGATTGATCAAATGACAGAGTGACCGACTAAATGATGACTGACTGACTACATGATTGACTGAGTGACTGAATAACTGATTGATTGACTGAGTCACTGACTAACTGATTGATTGACTGGGTGACTAACTAATTGACTGATTAATTGATTGATTGATTGATTGATTGACAGACTAATTGGTGAACTAACTGGCTGACTGATCGACTGACTGACCATCTGACTGACCGACTGCTTGTTGTTTCTATCCACATTAGAACCAGACACGCCGTGGATACAAACCAACAGGTTAAATCGTAGACCACATGACTAGACATGAAAGTCCAACAGATGACTACAGAAACACACAGTTCTGATAATCTTAGTTTCAGCTTCATAGCAAACGGGTCACCCCAAAGTTGCTCCGCTCCTGTACCAACG